GGGTCAAGAGAAAACAGCCAACGTTGACTCCCAAGCTATCCAATCATGGGCGTCTTCACATTTTAATTTTAATTTTTGGAAAGAATTCTTCCAAGCTCCACTTACCCACAAATGCCCCGTCTTCTGACGTGAGGGCGCAATCCACCAGCTCCAGCGTTCGGATCTTGCTCCCGGCTTGGAACTTCTGGAGGATCAGAGGCAAGTTTCCTCCCACTTTACTGTTCCAGGACAAAGTCAGCTCCTCAAGGTCAGGTATCGCTTTAAGCGCTGCTCCTGTCACAGAGGGGCCCGAAGATTGGTCACTAGTCTGCAAAGCAGAGAATGCACTTCAAAATCGTTATTTATGGCGTATGGAAGCCAAGCCGGGTCAGACTGGTTAGGTGCCCGGTAACAGAGAAGAGGACGCAGTTCCTGCCCACTCCCAGCAGGGGGAGCTTCTATTTTTACAGGCACAGTCTACGACCCTCCAAAGTTCTGAAGCCACGCTTACGAGCACAGATTGCTTTTTTAAAACTCACCTCTTCATAAGGTATTTCTTACTGAGATTTTTTGTGGCGGTAAACACGTGTACTAGTCCATTACAGTGGGGCCTTGACTTACGAGTTTAATTCGTTCCGTGACGGAGCTCGTAACTCAAATTACTCGTATGTCAAATCATAAAGTGAACGATTGAGACACGTGATGCTGGGCTGTTGTGGCGTTCACTGTGACGTTCGCTGCGCCAACTAGCGGTGGGGTATCTGAAGCTGGCTCGTAACCCAAATTTTAGCTCACAACTCAAAGCAAAAAATCGGCCAAGAGACAGCTCATATCTCGAAAAACTCGTTAGTCGGGACACTCATAAGTCAAGGCCCCACTGTACTTTCTCTCTCACCCACCCTCTCTGGGAGCAGCAATGCTGAGGCGCTTGACCAGAGGTAGAAGTGAGACAAAGCCAGGCACTGGCCTCATGGGGGTAAAGCTCACATTGACATCAACAGTGTCACATACAACTGAACTGACCATAAAGCATCAGGCACTAACAGCTCCTAAGATTACTCAGCCTTTGGGGCAGAGGAGGGTGCCATGAGAAAGGGGTGCAATGACATTTCTGAAACCACTTCACACAGGAAAGCTCCCTGGGGCTACAGCGTGGAGGCTGGGAGAGATGGGGGAAGTGACGGGGCAGGGGTGGGGG